ATGTCATGTCCGAACATCCATCGTATGGCGACTTTAACTTCCTAAGAGGAACCCAGCTGCTGCCTTTGACTGCTCTTCTTGCTCCTCCGGAGTCACCTGCGCGCATCTCATCATGCGCGTGGCGCATTCCCTCAGCTCGCTTGCCGCGAGTTGCGCATGACCCTCCAAAAAGTCCACGGAGTCTGCGTTGAGTGCCCGCGCCTGGCTCTGCCGAACCATACCAGCCAGAAGCGCAGTGATCTTGCTGCCGGACTGTGACTGAGCCTCGTCCTGCGAAGCAGCAACGTGAGCCTGAGCCACTTCAGCCAGCTGAGTCTGCAATTTCTCCACTTTGGCGAAGGACCTCTTGAAGCTCTTGCTGTTCAGGTTGAGACCTTGCACATAGGAGAGCCCCGAGCGACAACCGGCCTTCTGCCTGTGACTGCCAAAAGAATCAGTACAATTGCTCTGTTGCCTCTTTCTTTCCATACTGCTGATGCTATTTCAATGCGTTGGTGTCTGAAACCTACTCTTGCTGCACTGTCTCCTTGTGGAACTTGCTGTCAGTCCTGGCTAGCTTTCCAGCCCCTCTGTGACCTTGGCCTGCTCACGCGAAGTTTAAGAAATTACAAGCCACTAGAAACAAACCATGAAACTGTTTTTTGCCTACTACTACCTGTTGCGATCATGTCCCCCAAGTGTTGTTAAGCCTTTTTGCCCCTCAGCCCTGACACCCTAAGCCAGGTCCAGGGAACTTTGGGGTGATGTAGAAGAAAAATCACGTGGGGCTGTGTTGATCTTGCCGGTGACTGCTGCTGTCCTGTGGGACAAGCTCCAACGCAACTTAGGTGTTAGGGTTTCTGAAGCAATTACGAAGATCACGGTGGTCGTAGTCATGGTAGCAACAGAAACAAGAAGGATAACACCACTGACGGTAGTTGCGTTACCAAGCGTCCGTCAAAACTCAAGTCAGAGCCATTTGGAGCTTTACGATATTAGGGGTACCTTATTGGAGTCCTTCGACTATTTGGGGGTCTATATTAGGGGTCCCTTAGTTTCGTAAACCTCTTAACTAGGCAAGATTGATCTGCGCCTGTCCTGGAGTTCACCCTACGGGTGGTCGCCGTCTCCACCTTCCTTGCTGCTTCTCAGAAGCCCCAACAGAGTTTAGCGGCTTAGCGCTTAATTTCAGTTGAACATCAACTTATATAGGCTTCCATGTTTCCTGGATTTGAAATGGTACGATTCACAGAACTGCTCTTTCTACTATGGCGATCATTGGGGCGATCCGTGTCGAGGCATCGGGCTGCAGGAGTTTGGGGATCATTCTCAGGTAGCCACCACGTCTGAAAAATCTCTTCTGGGCATGGCCGGAGCTTCTTTGCGGCGCTGCCGCTTCCCGGGCCTCCGGATCCCCAGCTTCCTCCGCAGGCATCTGCGTGCGCTGTGGAATCCGTCCTTCTGTGCACCATGTTGTCCATGTGCCTCGGCAGCTTCTCGCGGGTATCATCATGACAGCAACAATAAAAACCATAACAATGATCGTAGTAATTTTCTGATTGGGGCATACTGAAAAACATACATGTTGGTAGCCTTAGGACCTGTAACCATGGGACTAGTAACAGGACAGTGGCCAAGCAACAACAGCAAACTACAGAAACAACACTGAGATAAACCATGGCTTCCTTTCAGGGCCTCATGCAAGCTTTTGCCGAATGCAACAGCAGGCACCGGATCCATTTGTCACACTGCGGTTCCAGGTCAGGAATGAAGTCGTCCACGCTGGGCTCCCCTTCATGAGAAAGCAAAGCCGTGGACAAGAGTGCATGGGCATAGTCGTCATCCAGCAGGAAAGCACGCCGTTCGAACAGCACTTTGTCTTTGTCAGACAGCCTGTCCACCGATACCATGTGCAATGAATGAAGGTTGCAGTGCCGAAGCTTCTCAAGAGCATCAACTCGATGCTTGAGAGCCCGCTCTCTGCAGCTGATCTGCTGAAGGGAGAAGCTCTGAGGTTCAGGTATCTTCTCTTCGTCGTTGGCCCTTGCGAGAAGCGAGTAGCTGCTTAGCTCTTTTTGGACATTCTTCTTGGCCCGATCGAGAAACTGACAGACTTCGCCTGCTGGACGCTGGATTTTCGATGCAAGCGCAGCTCCTAGAAGGGCTGCCTGACCAGTCCACTCGCCAAGGGCACCTGCAGGGGTCGCGAGCCAGGATCAAAAGCAGTCACAGTAGTGATCACATTTGTGAATGTGAATGATGACAGTCAGATTCATAATGATACGAAATCATAAAAGCAAGATCAGCAGTAATTTGTACCAACAGCAATAGTAGGCATGTGGCTTGGCACAGCAAGCATGTGGACGTTTCTCCTGAGACAAGAATCCTACACCTGCTTTTTCCAGGGAGAGACTCCTGCGTTCCTTCCTGTTGCTATTTTTGCAGCTGTTACTGCGATGATGGTCATGACGATGGTGACGACGAGTAATGTTGCTCTCGTTGTCACTCCACTTGAGCACCACTTGAGAAGCTCGGTGTCGGTAGAAGCTCTGGAGGCACGTGTGCAGCAAGTCATTATACAGGGCCGATGTGGGCGCCGCCTTTGTTTTAGGAGGTGTTTTGTAAGCATTTCAGAGGCATTCAGAGCTCGGGAGGCTCCCATGCGACGTTTTGTTGCCAAGTTAGGTGCGCCTCGGTCGTTTCTAGCCGAGGCTTCAACTTGGATGCGACTTTTTGGGGATTTGGGTTCCGCCACAGCTCTGGAAGCTTCCGTGTGACGTTTTGGTTTTGGAGTCTTGGAACCATCTTGAAAGCAAATAATTAATTACATCCCGCAAATACTGTTGTGCCCGAATTCCGCACTTGACACACAAAACACAGGCATGCGAGATTGTCCACTCCATATTCCCCACATCACCGTGTGGGGTTCTTGCGTGCGCGCTGGGGTTTGGGGGCCTCAGGTGTGCCCTCCTGTCACCCAGGCTCTCCAAAGTTACATCATGCTTCCAAAACTGGCCACGATTTGTTCGCGGGAGCCGCCCAGGCAAACCACAAGGTTTGGCCTCAATTTGTATGCAGAGGCCCATATGATGCCTCTAAAACGCATGCCCCTATAGGTCCATGCGCGGAAGGGGCGCGCGACTCCGAGAAGATTGAACCCTACGCACCGATGTGGGGAATAACAGCAACAGGAATGGTTGAATCGAACAATCGTTGCAATAGTATTAATTATTAGTAATAACAGTAGCAAGTAATCATACTCGATTACAATAATTATAACAAATAACAATCATAGTAACACATCAAAGCGACAAACTGCAAGAATAGCCTCCAGGACTGGCTGCACTGTCGAAGTTCTCACATCTCTGGAGTGGCTTTTCCCCAATCTGAGATGCTGCGTCCAGCATGTGCCTAAGCTCCGCAACACTGGAGTTCGTCACGCCAAGAGAACCTAGAAATACCCATAGAGGTCAACAGAAACCAGAAGTGGCTCAGAAGCCCAAAACAATGAACAAGCATTCGTCCTGACAAGACTGGGTACAGGGCCGGTTCCCAAGCCTCCGCCAGGAGAAGCCCCTTGGCCAGGTGTAGATGTTGGCCCGCATCGAACCGGAAATTCCAGCAAGCTTGCTGGAGCCTTGTCCGGAGTAGCAAGGCTCCCTCAACCATTAACCATAATAGAACTCGTACGATATGAAAAGCAATCATGCGAAACAAAGTATGATAAGGGCCTTGTGGAGAGAGGCGTGCCAACGTCCAGTGCCAGGGACTCCGGGGCATAAATCTGCTTTTCCTCTACTGCTACAAGTTCTTTGTTCTTATTAGGACCTTGGCTGTCAAAGAACTGTTTCTCCCAAAAACATCTCGGATGTTGGGTTCTCGCTTAGGTTCAAAACGCGAGAGAGCGATACCGGGGAATGGCGGCGCGGCGTGAAAGCGAAACGGGGATGAGAACGAAGCGGGGATGAGAACGAAACGGGTGATCAGAGCATGTCAGAGCCGCGGGGTGAAAACGAAACGGGTGAAAACGAAACGGGGATGGCACGGGGATCACGACGGCGGGGCGAAAACCTAACGGGGTTGAAACGAAACGGGGATGAAGATGAAACGGGCACGGCGCGGGGATCACAACGAGACAGAGCGAAAACGAAACGGGGTGGCGCCAGCGGGGATGAAAACGAAACGGGGATGAGAGCGAAGCGGGGATGAAAACGTTTTGAAAACGCAACCGGGAGGGATTTTCGTTGAATGTATTACGGACTGCGGCACGTACTGCGGCGCGTACTGCGGCGCGGGAAGCTGAGGGATTTTCGGAATTGTGGTACAAATGTAGTACTGGGAGGACAGAGCCGGAGGGGCGCGAGAGCGGACTGCGGCGTATACGACGGCGCGTACGGCGGCGATGGAAGCTGAGGGATTCTCGTTGAACGGCGGCACGTACGACGTCGCGTGCGGCGGCAAGGGAAGCTCAGGGGTTTTCGTTGAATTATAGTACAAATGAAGTACTGGGAGGACAGAGCCGGAGGGGCGCGAGAGCCGCGTACGACGGCGCGGGAAGCTGAGGGGTTTTCGTTGAATTGTAGTACAAATGTAGTACTGGGAGGACAGAGCCGGAGAGCGGACTGCGGAACGTACGTCGGCGCGTGCCGTGGCGCGGGAAGCTGAGGGATTTTCGTTGAATGTATAGTAAAAAAGTAGTACTGGGAGGACAGAGCCGGAGGGGCGCGAGAGCGCACCGCGGCGCGCACGACGGCGTGTACCGCGGGAAGCTGAGGGATTTTCGTCGTTGAATTGTAGTACAAATGTAGTACTGGGAGGACAGAGTCGGGGGGCGAGAGCGGACTGCGGCGCGTCCTGCGGCGCGTGCGGCGGCGCGTACGGCGGCGCGTGCCTTATTACCTTCTTATACTCTTCTATACAATGTGCATACGGAATGCATGTTGAAGTGGGGGTTTCACTCCGGCGCTGTTGTGATTCGGATTGTTTTTGGGTTCCTGGCTTGACCTTGTAAAGATGCTTCTTCAGGATCCCAAACGTTCCTTGAGAAACTGCAGAAATCCAGGATAGCGGGTCTGGTGCGAAGAATCACGCCATGCTGCCCATGCATCTCCAATAACGGCTTTCAGGGACGGCAGTATCTGGGCCCTCAGCTGGTGCTTGTTCTTCGCATTGTGGGGCACAAGTTGCTGGACCATGGCTTCTGCCCACAGGGGTGCATACCTGGCAAAAGGCTGCATCAACTTCAAGTCTTCGTGCAGGGAGATGCTCGCCTCGAGCTTAAGCTGCTCCAGAAAGTGCTCCTCCTCCTCGACCTTCTTGTTCCCGGCCGTCCAGGCTGCAAGTGCAAGGTCTCCGATGGCAGAGGCAGTGGTGTCCAGGAGGATCTCCTGAGCAAGGCCGGCATTGCCATTGCGGCCTGCGCGTCCTCGAGCTTGCTCCGCCTGGCGCCGGCCAAGTATGCTGCCGGTGATCACATAGAGCACTCCGTCCCTTTCTCCTCAACTTTTTTAAGATTTGGAAGCGAGCTTGGAGGCGCTGGCGGACATGAGTGGGCGGAAATGGAACGAGGGCGGGGAGAGATGGAAGGTGCTAGGGAAGGAGCACAGAATGAGGAAAGGGAGAGGAGGAGGATCGGAAGCAAGATAGCCAGGCAAGAAAACGGAGAGAACACGACAGAGAGAGAGAGAGAGAGAGAGAGAGAGAGAGCGAGAGAGCGAGAGAGCGAGAGCGAGAGACAGAGAGAGAGAGAGAGAGAGAGAAAGAGAGAGAAAGAGAGAGAGAGAGAGAGAGAGAGCGAGAGCGAGAGCGAGAGCGAGCACGCTGGGAGGCGGGAGGGGGGGAGAGGGGGAGAGGGGAGAGGCGGGGAGAGGGGGGGCGAGAGGGGGAGGAGAGGAAGGGGAAGGAGGGGACGAGAGCCAGAAATGGTGGGAGTGAGTGAGAAAAAAGAGCTCCTGTCTTCTCCAGCTTGAAGTCTGTGCCTCGCCCGCCTTTGTTGGATGCCACTACCACAGTGCCTGTCCGCAGAACCAGGTCGCCCGAGCCGTCAGTGACAACATGGGGCCCACTGGTCAGCACATCATTGTCCGCCTCGCTACAGTACTTCACGATGTACTGGATGCCTGACTGAGTTCGCTGAGCCTTCTTCAGCGTGTCGTACACTTCATCAGCCTCCTGCATGCTCTCCACAATGATGAGAACCGAGCCGGGGCAGCCAACCGGCTGGCCTTACTACCGCGAGGAGTCGGAAGCAAGGCAAAAGGAAGCATCTGCTGCAAACAAGTGTTCCTGGCCAAGGGGCCAAAACGTGCCATCAGCGCGCCGTTGAAGAAGTCCCCTGTCTGCTGCGCGATTTTGTCGAGCCATTTCTTCTTGGCATTGGGCTGCTTGCCATACACGATGGGAGACAAATCGTAGAATCTGCTCGGCATGTGCCTCGGGATTTCGATGGCGTCGGCCTGATACACGTCGCGTAGGAAACGGCGGGCGCTCGAGGGGCCCAGAGTTCCAGAGAAGCCACCGAACCAGCCATAGGCCTGCACGAAAGCCACGAGTGAGCTGAAGAACGACAGGGGCTGAATGCCCTTCATGGGGATGCCATGCTGCATCTCCACAAATGGGGCCTCGTACGTCCATCGTGTCATGGGCTGCTCTATGCCAGTGGCAAGGTCAACGATGAGTATCGTCAAGTCTTGCCGAGAGGGGTCACCAGCTCCAGACTTCTTAGCGGCCTTGAGGAGGAAATGGCGACCGGCTTTTCTGGTTCGGGTGTTCAATGCACCCTGAGATAGCTTCATCACAAGATCATCTACCGGCAAGGAGTGTGGATGATTGCAATCGAACTCAGATTCCCTGCTGTCCCTGTCAGGTTTGAGCACCTCTTGGGCAAAGTCGTCGCGGCTTGCCTGTGCTGTGGCCCGGTCAGTGACTTTGTTGTCAGAGAAATCCGCGTGCTTCATCATCAGCTTGTGAGACCGAAATATCAGTTTCTCCATAGCGAGGTAATCTGTCACGTTACCAGACATGAAGAGCACACTAGTCGCGCAATCGATGAGAGCATGGTCGCATTCGTCGAGCAGTAGGAAACAAGCAGTGCGATTCCAAATGTTGAACTCGCACAGCTGTTCTCCTGCTTCCGTGACATCCACACGCTGTCTCTGAAAGTCCGTGATGGTGCCATATACTACCTGAAGTGATGCATAAAACAGCATCACCATCGAAAGAATGACAAAGAAAAGCTAAGATTTGAGGGGCCAATGAAAGCTTGCAGGTGCAGGGCGGGACGATGACCCTGATAACAATGAAGATGGTGACAGACGGTGATAATGATGGTGAGAACGACAATGTGGGAACCCAGACCCCCAGAGAGCGACACGATAAACGATTCACAGCTCTATCCGGATAGACCGACCCTACGGCTCAAGCAAAAGTCAACGCCGCCTAGTTTGCGCGAGCTTCCGTGATGATCCCTATCAGTCAAGTCTCCATGCAATATCATGCAATGCTCCTTGCTCCAGAGCCATGCCATATACTCCCTCTAGATGTTATGCTCACGCAACCTTTACATCAAGTTTCCACTTTATGCCTGGCTTCCTTTCTTTTCCCTTGGTTCTCGATTTCAAGTAGTTCCATTGCAGACCGCTATAGAACGCGACCGTCAGTTCACAAATCTTGCTGTCGTTACGGAAAGTAACCTACTGAGACTGTTATCAATACGATGCCGAAAAGGTCTGGGCGCTCCAGTTCCTTGAAGTCCCCATCCAATATTCTGCGGATCGTCTGCTGTTCTCGGGATTGCATCGAGGTACTCCTGGAAAAACTCCTGCGACACAGATTCGAAAAGTAAAATTAGTCGCTGACACAAGAGTAAGCAATAGCAGCAGCAGTGACTTAAGAGTAACCATGCAAACAAAAATGCTAATGCTGGGCATGTATAGTAGATATAATCATCATCATCATCATCATCATCATACCCTCAATAATCAGCACAATGATCCGCAGCGGCGGCACAAAAACCACGTGCAACTGCCCTATCGCTATGCAAGCAGACGCCTTCGTCTGATTGACAGCCTCCTTTGCCAGATCTGAGTTGGATGTTGTTACGTGCACGGCAGCGTCCGGTCGACGCTTGGCGAGCGCTGCCGCGATCGCTGCGCATGCGATCGTCTTGCCTTCGCCAGTCTTCATCTGAAGCAGCCGTCTCTGACCCGTTAAGGAGGCATGCAAGGTCAAGAGCACTGTTGCAAGTTGTACTGGCCGAAGACTCTTCTTCAAGTGCTTGGCCGCGGCCCTGGCGACCAGCACTGTCTCTAGCACGGCCTGCCTGCAGGTTGGGGGGGGGGGAGGGGGGGGGGAAGCTCAAAACACGTTGGAGACCACAAAACCCGAACAACTGGACACCGATTATCCCGAAAGCAAAATCAGTGTGATGTTTGTAAGGGATGCATATCAGGCGGCGTTGCAAGCGCGGTGATCGTGGTGCGGTGTAGTAGGCTATAGAAGTAGGTGCGGCGTAGGTACTGTGGTCTTGGCGCTGTGTAGACGTCGGAGAGCGATACGCAAAAACGCACAGCGAGAGCGCTACGACACGCGATCCCCGTGGAGTGTTCGCAAGCCACGTTGAAAATGCGCAAAAACTGGAGCCCTAAACCATAAACCAAAGAGAAAACAACCTACGGCTTGTGGGCATGTCTTGTTGTTCGGGCAGCTCTGCTTCTTTCGGCGTTCTTTTCTTTTCCTTGGCAAGTCCATGGAACCAACTCGGACTCTGTCAAGTTAACCGCTGAAAGACCATGGTATTTTCCGAGCTTCAAGACCCTGGTATTTGCGAGAGTTTGGGAAGCAGCGATTTCGAGCGGGAAGTGAATGACCATGATGTTTGCGATGCTTTCGCACGCCGGGAGTTAAGTAACCATGCATGAAGTTTGCGGGTTTTTCGCGTTAATTAAATCACCATGATATTTGCGTGTTTTCGCGGAATTTGCGATGTTTTCGCACGCCGGGAATTAAACGACCTTGATCTTTGCAAGGTTTTCGCGCGCCAGGAAAGAGATAGCCATGATATTTGTGTTTTTTCACGCACCGGGAGTTAAATAACCATGATATTTGCGATGTTTTTTGTCGCAGGAATTAAATAACCATGATATATGTGATGTTTCGCACGCCGGGAATTAAAATTAACCATGATATTTGCGATGTTTTCGCACGCTGAGAAATAAATAACCATGAATTTTGCAGGGTTTTTCGCACACCGGGAATTCAATAACCACTTGGGGGGGAGCTCAAAACACGTCGGAGACCACAAAACCCAAAAAAATGATGGAGCATCGCCTGCCTTGAGCCTTCGTCCAGCTTTTTGTTGATGGACTGCTCAGTTTCGCGGAGCGTCTGGTATTGGCGAGCGAGACGGAACGAAAGCTCAAGTGTCCTTGACAGCCATTCGCCTGTCTTGATATCACCGCTTTTAAAGCACTCTTCCACGACCTCCTCGCATGTTCTCGACTGGGGCCTGCCGGGAGACACAACGAGTTCGAGCATGTCCTTGTCAAGAGCTTCCAAATGCGTCTGTAGGCCATCAGGATGCGTCCATGGCTGCCACTTAGGAATGCCATGCGTTAAGCAGCAAGCCTTCTCGGGTAATCTATCTCCACTACACAGGATGCAGTCAGGCAATTCCAAGCACTGTCGACACACCATAGAAGCTGCGGACCAAAAATGACAAGCCATGTTGGCTTCCAGCTTGACCTGAGGCATCTTGCAAGTGTACTCGCCCTTCTCGAGCCATTCCAGCCAGCGTTCCCAATGGTCCTCCAGGAAGCCCGCGAGCAGCTTGCGCATGGATGCTAGAAAGCGCGCATCCGACCTGTATCTCACCCATGCTGTGTTTACCACCTGAACCTCTCCGGCTGGATGCAAGTTGCGCATTCTCTCAAACATCTCAAACATCCAGCTCTCATCCAAGCCAACATCGGATCCTGTCTCGAAGCTTGCCGGAAAACCACAGACAGAAGATATCTTCCGATGATCCTGTAAGATGCTTGAATCATGTGCATGAAGCATCACCTTCGTCCCAACTGCACTGAGTCGAACTTCTTTGGCAAGATGTGCTCTTTTCAGCTTGTCAAGGATGAACCCACGGAGCCGCATCTCAGACTTAGGCATCTCAAGCAGGCCTCAGCTGCGTGACACACGCGACACAAAGCCAAGTGAATAGGAACAACATTTCCTTGCATTCTGCATGTATTTTTTAGTACAGAAGAACAATGCGTGCAACAACACATACCCTTTTTCTACTGCCAAACACCGAAGCCAGCATCCGCGACTCTCCAAAAACCCTTCGTAAGATGTGCTCTTTTTAGTGCCACTCTAATCTTAAGCCGTAGCTCCTGAACCTGCCAACCCTGAAATCTGACCTGCAAGGCCATGCTCCAAGGAGGCCATGAAGCCGTCCCAAATCCCCACCCTTTGTCAAAACATCTCAGTATGAAAGCGGTCCTGGAAACCGGAGCAGCTATAATTCAATAATATCGTTCTCTCTTATATATATATGTGTATATACAAAAACAATCCTGGTAGTTTGCCCCGCATAAACATGCAGCATCGCTCTATACACCTTGGGGACTTCCTCGGCTAGGGAAGTACCCTTGGCCAAGCCGCTCGGCAGGAAGTTGGCCCCGAAATCCTTACTTCTCAAGGTGCCCAGGGGCATCGAAGAGCTCAGTAGTGGACGATATTATATAGTAGCAGCAACAAACAACGACAACATCCACGGCCACCACAGGTGATCACAGAAGTAATCGTGGTGCACATGACGACAATCGCAAGACCAACCATCAAAGACTCATGTTTGAACATGCCAAAGTTTGCTCTTGGAGAGCTGAGCAGCGATTTCAAGCCTCGCTTGGCTACCAGCTGCCTCGGGATCAGGCTGGGGTTCAGCCTAAACCCAAAACTCTACAATTTCCCTCCTCTCACTCTGAGAATTTTAAGGCTTAGGGCTTAGCGGCTCAAGAGATTCTAGGGTTCATAGGGTCTAGGGACCATGCAGGGCTTAGGGTTCAAGATTGAGGTTTAGGGCTTATGCTTAGATGAAATGAAAATATGATAAGGTTCTGGTCACCCTCCATGTTCTTTACCATTTCTTGGAGATCCCCACTGTGCCGCCCAAGCCGTATATGAACCCTAAACCATGCAGCTTCGCGTCCGGCTCAGGCTCCAGAAATTTGGCGGGACTCCCCGGCACCAGGCCCACTTCCTTCAGGGCTTGAATCCCCGGGAGTCTAGGGTTCAGAGGTTCAGCGGATTAGGGTTTAGGGAAATCCCGAACGTCAAGATCCTTCTGAAATCATACAATGCCCCACTTGTATATATATATATATATATATATATATATGGTCCCCCCCCCCAAAGATCTACCGTTTCCCACCTTTTTTTCAACAATGAAACAAAATCCGTTTGCTTCATAGTGAATTTTCGCAATGCAATAAAATCCGTATGCCTCACAATGATAATGCCCACGACGCCATTCAGAACTCTCTTCAAAGATTTCGAAAGCCGGCCGTTTCAATTGAAACGTTTCCGTTTCAATTGAGACGGCCGGGATCCAAGATCCAAGATCTAAGATTTTCCAGGACTCTTGCCGAGGCATCTTGGAATCCTAGATCTCGAAAACCGGCCGTTTCAATTGAAACGTTTCCGTTTCAATTGAAACGGCCGGGATCCAAGATCCAAGATCCAAGATTTCCCAGGACTCTTGCCGAGGCATTTTGGAACCCCATATCTTGGATTCTGCCCGTTTCAATTGAAACGTTTCCGTTTCTATTGAAACGGCCGGTTTTGGATTAGGATTCCAAGATGCATCGGCAAGAGTCCTGGGAAATCTTGGATCTTGGATCTTGGATCCCGGCCGTTTCAATTGAAACGGAAACGTTTCAATTGAAACGGCCGGTTTTCGAGATCTAGGATTCCAAGATGCCTCGGCAAGAGTCCTGGGAAATCTTAGATCTTGGATCTTGGATCCCGGCCGTTTCAATTGAAACGGAAACGTTTCAATTGTTGAACTTCAAAACTCCGGGTTCCAGGATTCAAGATCCCGTGGAAACTTTTCCTGCAATCTTGAATCTTGAATCTTGGATCCCGGAGTTTTGAAGCTCAAAACTCTAGATTGAAGTTCAAAACTCACGGAACCCCATAGGGCTGAGGTTTGAGGTTTAGGGCTTCAGGTTGAGGCATTAGAACCTGAGCAGGCAGTTAAAACTAAACCCTTAACCTTTAAACCCTATAGGGTTAAGGTGTTAAGGTTTAGGGTTTACGATTTAAGCATGCAAACTTGAGCCGGTAGTTCAGCCTAAACTCTCGACGTTTAAACCCTATAGGGTTAAGGTTTCAAGGCTTAGGGCTCAAGATTTAGTCATTTAAAGCTAAGCCCATAGAGTTTAAACCTCAAGGGTTTAAGGTTTATAGGTATGAAAACATGAACCCTAAACCCTCTAGGGGTCTAAAAGGTTCAAGGGTGTTCAGCCCACAGGCGCTGAAGGTATAAATGCCCAGACCTTGGGTACATCAGGTTTAGGCATTGCAACCTTGAAGCCCTATAAGGGTTTTTAAAGGTTTAAGGTTGGGGCGGGGCTCTACCATCATTTGCAGGCCTCTACTATGACAGAAATGCTCGCCGGTAACGGGGCTTGTAACGGGGCTTGAAACGGAAACTGTAACGGAAAGGAGCGGAGCTGTAACGGACTTGTCGCGGAGCTGTAACGGAGTCGTATCGGAAGGCTGCAACGGAGCGCTACCGGCTGCAGCGATGCTGTAACGGAAGCTGTAACGGAGCCGTAGCAGAAGCAGCAACTTGATAACGGACCTGTAACGGAACTGTAACGGAGCTGTACAACTGAGCTGTAACGGGAGCTGTGGCGGAGCTGTAGCGGAGATGTAACGGAGCTGTAACGGAGCTGTATAACTGAGCTGTAACGGAAGCTGTAACGGAGCTGCAGCGGAGGTGCATCGGAGCTGTAATGGAGCTGTAACGGAGCTGTCACGGAAACTGTAACGGAAGCTGTAACGGAGCTGTAACGGAGGTGCAACGGAGCTGTAACGGAGCTGTAACGGAAGCTGTAACGGAGCTGTAACGGAGGTGCAAGGGAGCTGTAACGGAGCTGTAACGGAGGTGCATCGGAGCTGTAACGGAGCTGCAACGGAACTGTAACGGAAGCTGTAACGGAACTGTAACGGAAGCTGTAACGGAGGTGCAACAGAGTTGTAACGGAGCTCTAGTGGAAGCTGTAACGGAGGTGCAACGGAGCTGTAACGGAACTGTAGCAGTTGCTGTAACGGAGCTGTAACGGAGGGCCCACGGTGGGTAGCGCAAATCCCATAGTAAATGATGGTAGAGCCCACCCCCAAGTTTAAGGCCTGGGGATTGAAACCTAGGTTTGGGAATTCAAACTGGTTTAAGCCTTAATCCCTGTAGGGCTAGGTATTTAAACCGAATAGCTTACCTTGAAACGCTATAGGTTTAAAGGTTGAGGTTCAAAACCTTTAAGCCTCTGGGGTTTAAAGGTTTAGGTTTTTGCAGAGTTTGTCTACCCTGTTCGGGGTAGCCCTGTAGGGTTTTAACCCTATAGGGGTTCAAGGTTCAGGGTTTAAGAGGGCATTGCAACAACCCAACCCTAAACCCTCAGGGATTGAACCCCTTTACTGTTATCCTTAAGCCTTAAAGCATATAGGGTTTAGGGTTATAACGCTGAAGAACCCTCAGGGATTTAACCCCTTTACTGCTTTCCTTAATAAGGCTGAAAGCATAAACGGTTTAGGGTTATAACGCTGAAGAATTTTCAGGGGTTTAACCCCTTTACTGTTTTCCTTAAGCCTTAAGGCATATAGGGTGTAGGGTTATCACGCTGAAGGTATAAATGCCCAGACCTTCGGTACATCAGGCTTAGGCATTAAAACCTTTAAGCCCTATAAGGTTGTTAAAGGTTTAAGGTCAAGCCTTAAACCCTATAGGGCCCTATAGGGTTACGGTTTTTTCAGGGTTTATCAACCCTAAACGCTATGAGGGGTTAAAGGTTTAGGGTTGAAGGTTCAGGGCATTGCAAAAACATAACCCTAAACCCTCATCAGGGATTTAACCACTTTACTGTTTTCCTTAAGCCTTCAGGCATATAGAGTTTAGGGTTATCACGCTAAAATCTATAGGATCAGCACCTTATACCCCTACATATTGTAGGCCTTGAGGCCTAAATCCTAACCGTAAATCCCATAGGAGTTCTGCCTATGTTTGTAGGCCTCGCCTCCTGTGGAAATGCAAAGGAAAAGTAGAATAAGTACCCACTGCATGTATGTATATAGGGTATATGTATTGCATATCAAATACAGATAATGGAGATCCTCGAACCATAAGACTAGGAAGTATTCGAGCGCAAAAGGTGATGCGGAAAACTCATGTACTGTAAGCCCGGGGGACGCGAGAATACTACGAGCAAAGACCTTTTCACTATTTCCCTCTTAATTGCCGATTCGGTGTCTTGGGTTGGTGCAGGATCGGTTAGCTATTGTTACGAGGGACTAGATCGGAAGGGATTCTGGATAGTAAAAGCATTTAAAAAGGGTAGATCTCTGGGGGGGGAAGCATATATATATATATATATATGTACATACACATATGGTACCCCGCTGGATCTACCATTTTGTTCTGGTTGTGTCATAATTCTTCTTGTGCGACAAATCTTGGACATTGTTTCTGGAACCCCTTCTTGAAACATTGAATTGGAACCAAGAACTAATAACCAAGATTGCCAGTGACTCTTGTTCTTGGTTCTTGGTCCCCCCCCCCCCCCCCCCCGGTTGAAATTCAAGATTCAACACGGGGTTTCAAGAAGAGAGGAACAAGAATCAGAGATACATCCACAAGTCATCAAGGAAACCAAACATTGTTAACAAACCCATTCTTCTGGGACCTTCCAAAGGAATGGATTTGCTAGCGTTCTTTTTCAAACAATAAGACAACGAAACATGGTTCACAAATCCATTTCCTCCAGGCCCTTCCAACATTCTTCACAAGAGAAAATCCACGTTCACATCAGAGAACAGATGGCGCAATGGGGGCCCTCCCTGCCCCTCCCCTCCCAGTCTCGAATGGGCGCCCATGCCCGCCCCGCAGATTCAAGCATCGAGTATCACCAACATTCTTATTCGACTCGATTGCTTAGGCGAAAGGTTCACTCATTGTTTTCCCCTAAACCTTAATTGAGTTCACTAAATCTTCAACGAATAAGGCTGGTCCTAACCCTTGGACGAATAAGGTTTGGGAATCAAACAAAAAGCTTCCGGCATAAGGTTCAGCGAGTAAGGTTTAAGAATAAAGCTATCAGCCCAACAGTCCTGCCCCCCTCCCCTCTCCCGCAACCTCGTCCTGCCCAGGTGCGTGGTTTAGGAAGCTA